CTGGAGCCGCGGCGTCGCCAGCCCTCAGCCCCGCTCCCTGCCAAAGGCTGCACCTTCCCTACAGCACACGGCAACAAGCTGCTCTCGCTGCGCTTCCGTATCCCATCCCAAACACAAAAATCATCCTCCTCCTCCTCCTCCTTTGAGCAGTTTTGACCCACGCGGGGAGGAGATGCAAGGCAGGCTGCGACCTTCCTCTCCTGCCTCCCCTGTCGCAGAGGACGTCATGGAGAAGACACACAGATACTGTGAGGTTAGGACGAGAGCTAAAACCAGCAACCCCAAAGAGGACCCCCCAAGGGAAGCCAGCCCTCCCCGTTTGCGCTGCTGAGCAGCTGCTGCTGCATGAAAGAAGCCAGAAATAACTTCTATCTCCAGGCACAGGAGTAAACAGGCAATCAGAAGGGAGGAGGTTTACCCTGGCAAGCCATAGGGAAACAACCTTGGCAAAACAACTTCAGGTAAAGGGCTGAGCCCAGAAGACGCCAGCCTAATCTAAATCAGGGGTGGGAAGAAGCTGGTATCTCACCTGCCGGGGAGGAAGTATGATGGGTGAGTCCTGAGTGCCCTTTTCCCTGGGGAGCAGCTGAACATCTCCCCTGGACCATTCGTGGGTGCGGCAGGTCGGGGCCAGTGCAAGGAAGCCCAGGGCATGGCATGGTGGTAGCTCCTTATTGTGACTTTCAGTGTGTTGACTCCAAAAAAATGCTGGCTGGGGCAGATTAATGATGGGAAAGGCTGTATGTGATTTCCTGCTTATGCGATAAAATCTAGGCACCACAAGTGTGCCTCAAGAGGCGAAGCTTAAAAGCTGTTCCCATGGGGTGAGGAGATGGCTTTTCTGACGTTTGCAGAGGCTCTGGTGGAACTGTGCTCCTGGAGTAGCAGAGGAAGGGGTTCACCCCTCCGGAAATTAGTCCTCCGTCCTGCCCTGCCCCTGCCTCCTTCGCCTCCATGCATTTCAGCTGCTCTTGCAGCCTGGGGTTAGGGTGGCACTTGCAGAGCAACTTTATGGAGGTTTGAAAGTGCAGTGAGATCAGAGGAACAAACTGGGAGTGGTCGCTTTTGTCCCAGAGCATCAACCATTGGGAAACTGAGGCAGAGACAGCAGCTGGCTGGGAGCTGGCTGTCATCACGGGAAGGGTCACAAGCGGCTCTCAGCTCTGTCGGCAAAATTTCTCTGTCCCCAGAATGAAGGCTTAGGGCTGGGTGCCTCCTGCCGTGGGAAGGGAGGAGCAGGGCAGGGCATGGGGAGCACTGCCCGTGCCTGGCTGCGGCCCCATGCCCCCCACACCTCCCGCTGCCTGGATGCGCTGGAGGCACGCACGCAGCAGCACGGCTCCTCTCTCGTGCCCACCTCGTGCGTGTTTAAGGTGTTCACTTGACCCATGATTTCACTCGCAGTAGAGATGCTACTGCCCAGCTCTGCTGGGGGATCCTGTACTGGGATGCTCCCCTCGGCTCCAGCACGTGGCAGCGATGCTGCTGCCAGCGTGTGCAGGGCAGTTTGAGCGCACAGGGCTGGGATGGCTCCTGCGGGTAGCAAACACGTAACCTGAGTGATGGGCTTTCAGGCAACCGATTCAAGGCTCTTCACCAACAGCAAAATGGTCCTTGATCTACTTTTTTTTTTTATTAAGCACCGCACTCTTGTGCTCCGGGAGGTATGTGACAACGTTTAGCTATAATGAGGGGCTCATCCAGCCCTTTCTCAGCCAACTCCATGCTTTTAAAAATCACCAGTCATGAGAATGGCTTGGAAAAAGAATTTCCGATGCATGCTGTTTACTCAGGCAGTGGCGCACAGTTTCTCCTTCAGCTGCTGCATGTGCTTGCACTGAAATGAGCTGTGATCTGTTGCTCACCGCTAGTTCAGGAATATGGTTGCCAAATCACATGCCATTTACATGTGCAGATGTGGCAGCATGCCTTGAGGACAGGGGTGAGTTGTCTTCTGGTTTGGTTTTTTTTTTTTTTTATCTTTACAGGTGCCCATAATCACCCATGGATGGCAGAGGTCAACTGCCTCAGGAGAACAGGCAAAGCCCAGGACCTGCTGTGTCAGAGGCTGCAGATCCTCACATAAGCATGTTTCCAGGGTAGCAGGGCTTTAGAGGGAACAGCAAATCTTGTGAGACTGGCAATCAAATCACAAGAGTTGATTTCCCTGTATTCTTAGGGAAAAATAATTCTGATTTATCTGGATTCATTAATTCATTATTTAGATGTTTTCTGCCTAGTGAATCAGGGAGAAATGACATTTTGCAGAAAAAAAAAAAAGAAAATTATAGCAGAGGGGTGTTGAGTCATTTCTGTTGGAGGTGAGAATTGCAGGTTGCTGCTTAAAAAGTGACCTTTTGATTTTTACCATCACCCGGAGGTGGCTGGGCAGGATTCGGGGGGGGTGCAAGCCCCGGCAGCGCTCCCTGCCAGCAGCTCACCTGGCCTTGGTGGCCATGGCCCAACATGCTGAGCCAAGAACTGGCTTAAACCCCAGGATTTTCAGTACACAGAACATGTCTTATCCCTGTCAGTCAAGGAACATTGTGGTTTTAAAGACTACATGAGTGTGTCACCGCTTTTTTGGCATGGTCATTGCAGAGGTGAAAAAGCCAAAAAAAGCTGCGGACCGGGCCACGTTCGCTCTGTGATTTGCTGCCTGCCACAGGTTCACTGTGTCCCCCGTATCAAACTGAATTAAGGATTTGTATTCAGGCAGAGCACCAGCTGATCACAGTGAATAATGCTCTTTGTAAGCAATGTTTTCCTGCATGAGCAGTGAGATTTATTTTTTTTTTCTTATTTTTTCCCCCAAAGAGGTGATGGAAAAGCATCCTTGACTTTAATTTTATTTTCAGCACTTGCAGGGGGCGGGGGAGCGGCTGCCTTGGCCCTGCTGCCTTTCCTACTGCTTTCCCCCGGGCAGGGGAGGGGAGCTCTCTCTGCCATCCAGCCTTTTGCCCCTGCACCCCTGAATGTGGCCCAGTAACACGTTGGCCTGGGCCGGGAGGGCAGTCAGCTGGTGATGATGGTGGCACGATGCCAGGGAAATCCTGGTCCAGGGTGAGTGGAGGAGGTATGGGGCTGGCGGGAGGAGGTATGAGTTACAGGGGGAGAATTTGGGCTTTGGTTTTTGGGAGGCTGAGAAGAGGCACGGCCTGGTATGTGCCTGGGGCTGCAGACCCAGCACTAACACAGCCAGTGCCGTGCCGTGCTCTCCCACACATCCCAGCAGCGATGGAGACCCAGGCACTGCTATGGCCTGGGTCGGTCCCATCGGCAGAGCAGATGGAGCTCATGGCTGGATAAAAGCAGTCCAGGATATAATATACTGTAATAGTGTTTTCAGTGCTTTGATTCACATTTTTTTTTTCCTATTTTCTTATTCTAAGCAGCCTGAATTGAGGTGCCTCCAAGCTGCCCCGTCCTGGGTCAGGCCTTCCCCGCAGCAGCCAAGCTGGCAGAGAGCAGCAGAGCTCCCGAGGGCTCGCCGGAGCCGGGCTCACCCCGCACAGACCGGCCCAGACAAGCCCCGTACCTAGATGAGCACATCTTTACTTTCAGTTCCCCAAATACATATCTGAACTGTCCGTATCTCGCCTGGACACGTCACCTAAACCTCTGCTCCTTCCCAGTTGCCCTTCTGGCCTCGCCATGGGACGTGCATTCCCTCTGCATGCTTGTGCGAGGCCGTTAGAGGGCATTTGAGTTTCATTTTTCAATCACCCCAAAGGATTATTGCTGTGAGAAAGTAAAAGCAGAGCTGCCAAGCAGCAATCTTGTGCTGACTCTCCCATAGCTGGAGCAGCTCCAGCCCGTCGGGAGACGGCCCCGACTCATCTTTGCGATTTGTTTTCTCTTTTCCCTGCTTTTCTTTTGGCCTCGGCTCGCGGGGTATGTGCTTGGATGGCAGGCGGTATGTCTGGTGCTGCGGAGCGGTGTCTCCTGCGTCTGAGCTCCTCGCTCGCTGAAGCCCTGCCAAACCGCCAGCGCTTTGGGGAGGAGGAGGCCAGGCGGAGCAGGAAGGTTCGTGTTTATTCTGGAGAGATGCGGGGAAGGTGAATTAGAGCTGCCATCAGGAGGATGCCTCTGCCCATGCCCAGGAAGGCGGCTGCCTATCCGGGGTGGATATCGTGGGATGGCTGAGCTTGTGCACAGTTGAGCTGTGCAGCCTGGTGCAGCGGTGATGTGTGGTGCCCAGCCCGATGTATCTGTCCCTTCCCCGGGGGGCCAGGGCACAAGGGGTCCTGCTGGGGATTTGGGCTTCCCGATGCTGGAGACTGTCTCTCTCTCAGCGTCCACAGAGCAGAGCTGCATGCATGATGTGGCGGAGGAGCAGCATCACCTCTCCAAAAGCCCCACCAATCCGGGAAAGGACCAATTCCTAGTTTCTTGGATGGATTCATGCTCATGGCAGGGTTTCCCCATTTCCCATTACATTCAGCCTAAGAAACTCAGGGATGCTGCCTCCCTGCTGGGGGCAGCAGGATGCACAGAGGGGGCAGGTGCTGTGTGACATGGGGATCTTGTTCTCTATTTCCACCCTCCTTTGCAGCCAAAGTCCATCAGTTCTTCCCCAGTTTCCCAAGGGATGCATCCTCCTTCTCCACCAAAACCACAGTGCTGTGGACTTGTGCCAGACTCTTTGCCGGGATGAGGCGTTGGCTCCAGGATGCAACCAGGGTGGGCACGGCTACAAACGACCTCCTCTTCCCCTCTGGAAAGGCAGAGCAGAGAGTGATGGAGAGATGGAGCAGGGTGGTGGCATGTCCCCCGTGTCTAGGGAGCAGGGGCATGTGGCAGTGCAGGTGCCTGGCCCTGGAAAGTGCCAGCTGCACGGAGCGAGGCAGTTCTGCACCACATCCTCACTGGGGCTGTGCCAGGCTAATTAAAGGGGTGCAGAGCCCTCAGGTGTACCCAGGGAGCCAGGCAGGAGCTGCAGATGCACCCCCAGCCATAGGGGCAGGTTGAGCCCACCTGTGTGGCTCGGGGTTACGTGGGATCCACGGTGCTCTTGGATTCAGACATCCAAAGACCTCAAAATTCAGGTCTGCCCCTGCCATCAGAGAGCTGTTTGCCAAGTGCAGTTTAGGTGTCCCTGAGACACAGGCATGGCTGGGGACAAGTGATGGGGTGCCCACAGGTAGTCGGGGGTCCCATGACTCGTGCTGGCTGGCATTTCCCTTTCTCAGTCAAACCTATTGCTCGGAGACCCCAGCTCACCGAGGCCCCCACTTACCGCCAGGGGTGCTGCCTGCAGAGCTGGGCAGGGCCTGGCCATGCAGAGCCGCCTCTCAGTCTCCAGCCTGCAGTAGCGGTTCTGGTTGGAGATGCGGGTAGAAAAGCCCACGCCGCAGGTGGCCGAGCAGGTGCTCCACTCCGTGCCCCACTCCTGGCAGGGGTACGGCAGCCGTGGGGATGCTGCCCCGCGGGCTGGATGAAAAGAGATGAGGGGAAAAAGGGTGGTTGGAGCCACTCTCTGGGTGCTGCAGGCATAGCCTGAGTGGTGGGGAAACATCATCCTGTTGATGTTCATGGTCTGGGGTGAAGGGACCATCCCCAGCGACCTGTGTGGGCGTCCCCTTACTGGCATGTCCTGCATCTTCCCTGCCCCAGCATCCCGGAGGAGGTGCCGGTCCCGGGCCTCACAGATCCACTCTGGGCAGCACTTCCCCGGGACCTCCACGCGCCGCGGGTAGGGGCAATCTGGGGTGGGCAGCCGGACATCCTCCTGGCAGAGCGGGATGCAGGTGAAGCCCCCATCCAGGCAGCGGCACTGGAGTTTGCAGCTGGGCTGGAAAACCTCCCCATCTCGATAGACTCGGCCATTCACCTCGCAGCCCTCCTCGCCATCTTCAACTGCAAGCAACAGTCAGGGAGCCCGTTAGGGACAAAGTGACGGAGAGATGTGGATGGCAGAGGGGACTGCTGGGGGAAACTGTGCGGCTGGCACGAAGGGACTGAACTGGGGGGCCACAGAAGTGACTGAGCGGTGTGGGGGGCAGACACGAGTTTGCAGCAGCATGTGCATTGCCCAGTCTCCTCCTCTTCCCTACCTCCTTTCCTCATCCCTCTGTATTTTCAAAGCAGCAGCTCCCCAGTTGGTGAGAAACCTACTGCCCTTGTCTCTGACCCTGCCTTTCAGGATTTTCTGGCTAGAAAAAGTTTCTCTGAAATTTCTCTGCAGGACCACTCAGGCTCCAGCCCCAGCAGGGTGACGGCAGCATCCTCGGGACCCCTGTGTCCATCCCCACTCAAACCACCCCGAAACCCCAGCTGGCAAACGGCAGGAGAGCTGGCTGGAGCTGCAGCACAGCCCCGTGGCCAAGCTGCGTGCATCAGCCTCAGCGAAGCTGCTTTTGTAGCCTTAGCAGCTTCCCTGAAAGCGGTGAGGGATGCCTGGAGCAGGCTGGGGCCCTGGCTGGCGCTGGGGTGCGTGCTGGGCTGGGGGCACAGGCATCCCAGCGGGGAGCAGGCACCCCGATGCTCACAGTTGCAGGTGGCTCCGGTCCCCGCGGGTGCCGCGCTGTAGTCACAGATGAGGCCCTGGCTCTGGTCGCAGACGTGGAGGAAGTCGCAGGGCTCTCCCAGGCGCCGGGCGCAGATCTTACAGCAGCCACAGCCATCCAGGACCAGGGGGGACCCACGGGGGCAGCGGGGTGGCACCCAGGGGCAGTAGCATGGTCTCCGGCACAGCTGGGCACACACCTGCAGAGGCAAAGCCATCGCTGATTCAGTACAGGTTGTTTTTTGGCCAATGGCTGCTATTATACTGGGACAGCCAGATACTCCTTTCTCAACCATGGGGGCAGCTTTTTGGTGGAGGGAGGCTCTGACAATCCATGAGAATACGGCGAAGCAGCCTGCAAAGCTGTTACCCTCCAAAGGCACAGTGTGATGGGCACCCATGGAAACCAGGGATGCTCAGCACTCCGCAGGATAGGAACTTACCTGCCTCACTGCTCTGAGTACAAAGGAGGCGGATGGAGCCACAGAGCCAACATCCCGGGTAGTGATGGCCACGTCCTGGGGCTGGCAGCCCCGGAGGCAGCTGCACGCTGCCCTAAGCAGCCCAGCGGGAGGGAGGGGAAGGCAGCCTGCGGCCATGCCTGCTGCTGGGGCGCAGGTTGTGCCCAGCTGGAGAGGTGGCTTCACGGGGGCGGAACGCACATGGTGAGGGCACAGCATCTCACTCCGAACCACCTGAAGGGCTCTCATTCACGCCAAGAAACAGGGCACAGCATTGGCAGTGGGGGGAACCTCACTGCTTTCCTTCCCGGTCCGGCTGCCTCCTCTGCCTGTCCCTGGCGGCAGCAGCCTCTGCCTGGCCTGGCACACCGGGCAAGGAGCCCTGACACGGGCACCTTTTCGAAGACTGGGGATACATTTCCCCTCCCAGCTCGAGTGAGCAACTGGTTTGGCAGAGCCCAGCTGGTTGTTTGCCAGGACTGCACCTGCAGGGGTTCACCTGGGCCAGTGGGTGTTTATATCCACGGCTCATTCTGCTTGCACAATTACCCTGGCACAAACAGCTTCTGCAGGCAGCGCTTGTGGTCCCATCATGTCACATCTGACAGGGCTGTTGCATACAGGGCCTGGAGCCACGTGAGCTGGCCCTGCAGTTTGGAAGTGAATTCCTTGCTGGCCTGAACATGCACATGTGCGAGCCCCATGGAGCAGCTCTGAGCCGCTCTCCAGCAGCCTTGCTGCTCTGCTGGCCCCATGGAGCAGCTCTGAGCCGCTCTCCAGCAGCCTTGCTGCTCTGCTGGCCCCATGGAGCAGCTCTGAGCCGCTCTCCAGCAGCCTTGCTGCTCTGCTGGCCCCATGGCCAGCATGTGCAACGCAGGCAGCAGTTCAGCAAATGTGCAACCAAAAAACTCAGCCCTGTGCTGGTCCAGACACTGGTGCCTCTGCTGAGACTGCTGAGAGATTGATGGGTTCAGCTGGACCATGTGGGTTTTAGATACCATTTTTCTTTCTCTTTTAGTTTCTCCCAGTAGCATCAGGCCTGACATGACCAGTTAGGCAGAGAAGGTGGGCTCTGGTGTGCTATCTGTTCCCCATTTGCAGCAGTTCAGATGCTTTTTATGGGCCTGTAGAAATGTCAGTGCCAGGAGATAAAATATATGCAAGATGGGCCGGGCAATCTGGGTCGTGTTCTAGTTTTATGAATGAGCAGCACTTTATCAGTGTGGCAGACACCAGAGAGACTCGCAGCAGGGGCCGGAGGACTGGCTGTGGTGGCCACGTTGGGGCTGGAGGCAGGAGGGCCCTGATGATTCTCCAGGTGCTCCTGAGTGCCTGGGGCAGGAGCCGTTTCCCCGTCAGCTTACCCAGACAGCCAAGGGCATTTTTCATCTTTCAGGAGGTTGCTATCACAAATCACTGTTTCAGAAAGATCAGCCAAGCCAACTCCATTAATCCATTTCCCCCTGCTCCTTGTAATTAACTTGTCTTCAGATGACAATGTGGCTCCTGTCAGAGAACTTAACTGTCTGGAAAGGAGTCAAACAGGCACGACGCTGCCATGATATCCCTGCTTGCAGAATGCCTGCCTTGGGATTCAAGCAGCGATTAGAAGTACTTGGAGCTGAGATACCCCAAACTTTTCAACTTTCCCGTTCTCTGCACAGACAACTATTTTCACAGAGTCCAAAAGGAAGAAAAAAAAAAAACCTCACCACAACAGCCCAAACCCTGTCAGAGGCATTGGCTTTGCATGAGCATCCCAGGGAGGGGCGAGAGCTGAGTAACGCCAAGGCTGATGCTCGCTGCTTGGCCCCTCGCCCCGGGAGCCTGGGCAGGGACCAAGGGGGGCCCCGCCCCCCCCGGGCTGCCGCTCGCTTGCTCGCCGGACACATACCTCAGCCCCGGGTGCGAGAGCTGCAGGGACCCAGCAAGCAAACAGAGTGCATTGCTGTCATTCCTGCGTGCTTTTGATGCCTTTGGCCCATGGACGTTAAGACCCCACTGCTTAATTGCAAACATCTCTCCCAAGCATAGCTCTGTCCCTCTGGGACTGTATAAATACAGCCTGTCTGCCAGACAGCATTAGCCACCGGGCTCCGTGTAACACCCCAGTCCTCCCTGCATCTCACTTTGCAAGAACCAGGTGCTTTCCCCACTATGGCTAAAGCCACCCCAGGGCCCCATCTCCCTTACCTTGGAGAGGATGCAGAGGAGGGAGAGGAAGAAAAGCTGCTTCTCCAGCTGGAGCCTCATGCTGCTCTCCCCTCCGCCACTTCAGCACATCACCCCCCAGGCAGTTTGGAGGCAGCAGCGTGTTCTCAGGTTTTAAAGCCCCGAGTAGGTCCCGCTGGTGTTTATACTCTCCCCGCTCTGATGTCACTCACAGGCTCCAATATAAACACGAGTAGGTTTGGACAAGCCTCAACATTTTTTTTTCTCTCTTTTTTTTTTTCCCCTCCCACATTCCAGCTGCCATTTCCACTCCCCTCAAGGTGAGAATGTGCCGTCCACCCAGACAGCGAGCAAAGGGAAGGGAAACTCTCCTGGGAAGCATGGAGAGGGGCTGGGGAGCCAGGATGGTGGGGCAAACTGGCTCCTGCTGCTAGCCATGGCTGGGAGGAAAGGTCCATGCCTCTTCCCACTGATCAAGGTCTGCCCAGACAGAGCCAGTATCTTCCTCCTGGGTTTTGAAGGGTTTGGCGGGGCTGTCCCTGCTGCCGCCCTGGGGCATTGCCACCACCAAGCAGGACCAGGGCACCCACCCCTCTATTTAATGCTGAGGGCAGAGCACGGCAGGCTGTGGGAGAGGGGCGAGTTTCCCACAGAGCCCTGAAGTCGAGGTCAGGTCCTGTCCCTCCATTGCTGGGGACAGCCTGTGACATGCTTTTGATTGCCAGCAGCTCTGGTGGCAGCCGTTTGCCAGGCAAGCTCTGCAGGCAGTAAGAGGTGCGATTCCCTTCTCAGTTTCTCTGGCACAGCGAGAACAGGAAGGGGCTTTGCTGTGGGGGTGGGGGTGCTGCCACAGCACCCCCTGTCCTGCGTGGGTCTGCAGCCACCCAGGGAGGCTGCTGGGCAGGGGGGCTGGATGCACATCACGTTGCATTGCCCTGGGGCTGGGCCGTGACGCAGAGGGCTGCAGCCTGGCCCTTGCAGAAGCACTGCTGATTTCAAACCTTGTAAACCCCAGTTTAGTTCCTGAAAAATTATGGCCAGCTTAAGCAATCATGAGAATTTAAAATCCAGTTTCAAGGAAGAGGAGTGAGTGCTCAGCGTTTGCCTCCCCTTGCAGCCACTGTGTCTGGGGACTTGAGGCTGGCTCTTAGGAAAGAAAAATACTAAACATCTCAAGACCTCCAGGAAACTAAGCTCCTTCTCCAAGTTCCTATACCCCAGATCTTATCACAAGATGTAAGAAGGGGGATTTGTGAGTACAGAGCTCAAAGGAAAGGAGTGCCCTGCAGCTCGCCCTGGCCCCTCTCCTGCACCCCCTTGCCTGCGGGACATGGTCTGGGAGCCGGGAATGCTGCTTCTGCCCTGGTCCAAGGGACAGACCCATGGCGACTGTGCACAGACTCTCCTTGTCTTGCAGGCATGATGAGAACTGCTGCTATACATCAAATATTATGATATATGTTGGCAAACACACAGGAGGAGCTGGGTGCTGTATAATTATGCAACTAGGAGTGATGCCCCCTCTCTCCCTCCAGCCTTTTCTCCCTTCCTTTGGCTTTTGCAAAATAGGTCCTCAGTCACCCAAGCAGCAATCCTGACCTCAGCTCCACCACTTGCCATAGGCTGGAAGCCAGGGCATGGAGCAGGGAAGGCAGAGTCTGGCAGGGAAGAGCACAGTCAGAGCTCTCCCATTACCACCCGGATTCTCTGCTTTGGTTTTGCTTCGTTAGCTGCAATCAGTCTGTTAACGAGGTCACGGCAGCTTGTGGAAATACCAGGCCACCTTCCAAAGGCTGCTGTCACTTATCCCGGAGCCGGAGTCTCCGCTCCTCGTGGAGGAGCCCCAGGTCCCTGCATCACCCAAGCCCTGCCTGGGCTGAGGGCAGCCCTGCCCATCGCAGGGGAGGCGTGAGGGCTGCGCATTGCTCCCTCCTGCTAGCAGCGGGGTTCCATCCCTACTGACGGGTGCTCACAAGCCAGAAGGTTTGATGCCAAAGGCTGGAGGCACATCTCATGCTGCCATTTTCTCTTCCGCTCCCCGGAGCTGATGCCGTCCCACTGGCTGTCGTGTTTCAGATGCCACGGCTCAGCCAGACATCCCGGAGGCGGCCGTGGTGCCTCGATCCACAACGGTTCGAGAGCAGCCAAAGCACTGATCCAGCCTTGCTGCAGGGAGACAGGGAGTTCAGTTAGTTATTCCAGGCTTGTGTTTGTTAGGGACTCCTGATTAATGGGCTTGACTTCATTTCCCAGATGGAAATCAGGTGACAGTGCTGGTAAGAGAGATAAAAAACTCTCATCGCCCTCAGTGAGCAGCTTTGAGAGCAGTCAGCACCCCCATGTATGAGGCCCTGGCTCAGGGGAGCCCGCTGCCTGCCCTCTCCTGGGTACAGGCTTGGCTCTTTGCGGGGGACCCCTTCCTTACCCTCTCCCTCAGTTTGGGGCAAGAGGAGACATTGCTTCCCCCCAACACTTGATGTCGCTGAGATTTTGCTGCAGCAAAGTGACATGGCTGTGATGGTATGATGTCGCTGTGATGGTATGACATCACCAGGAAGCCAGCAGAGCTCCAGCAGCCAGAGAGGGGTTGAACCCACCACCCCGCACCTGCCCAGCTGCCCATGCTTCAGGTGGCCTTGCCAATCCCTGGCACTACCTCCTTGTCTTTTGGGTGTGCCTGGAGGAGCCAACTGGAGGGGTACCCACAAAGTCCACCACGACTCTGCCTTCTGGAGGAGGCTTTTCTGTGGGTGATGTGGGCTTGAGCTTCCCAGCTCTGGGGGTCCCATGTGCCTGCCCAGGTCGCCGTGCTGGGGGGCCAGGAGCTGCAGGCAGGGCCCGGCCAAGTGCCTTTGCGCAGGTTTTGATTTGCAAAGCCACACAAGAGCAGCACATTAGCAGTTCACTTTGTAAATACTCAGCTATAACCCTTCCTCCCTGGAGCACGTACCCCATATGTGTTCTGTACCATATGTGTGATTTCATAGCTGGTAATTAAGTCCGTATGTTGTGCTCTGCAGTTTCCATGGTATTACTGTCAGGATTTTTGGGGGCTGTAATTTTTTTTGTTTTTTGTGGTCAGTTGTGCAAGAAAATAGTTGATACAGAGATCTGAATGCACCTCCTTTGAGTTAGCCGCTGGCAAACTCTGCTCTTTCTATAGAAATGAAGGAACGGACCCAGTGAATTTACATTTTAGACAGCTGGATTTTTCATGTCTGTACCATTTAATGTGCCATCGTGAATAACACTGCGAAGCTCGCATTTGCGCACCCTGCTTGGCTGAAATTGCATCCATCTGCGATGGGTATAGGCCCTCTTCTCCTTCCACCCCTCTCCTTTGCTTGCGACTCTCCCCTTCTTTACACCGTGTGTTCAACACCCTCCCTAGAGCTGGCTGAAGTCAGACCAGGGTCTGGACGTCCATCTGTGCCAAGGAGACCTAGGCCATCCTGGGTCCTTGCTGGGTCTATTCCTCTTCATACCAATGGTGAACTCATGGGTCTAGGGTGAGATCCACCCCGTACCTTGGTGGGGAGGACGTTCCCTTTCCCTCTGGGCACTCCTGGCTCAAATCCCTGCTGCAGGGGAGCAGGGCTGTCCGTGGTGGGTGGACAGCATTGGTGGGAAAGCTGGAAAAATGCCCAGCTTGAAAAAGCCGAGAGCCCTGAGATGAAAAGGAGACGTCTCAGGTCTCCCTCAGCTGTTGGACACTTTGGGGTGGCTGCTGGCTGTTTTTCATGAGACTCCTGGAAACACCCTGGCTTTGGGAAACTTTGAAATACCTTTGTTTTTGGCAGGATGAGAAAGTTGTTTCCTACCCAGAATGAATCCGGCTCCAGTTTCAAACAGCTGAGAGAGGTGGTGGTGATGGCCGTTTCCATCCCTGTCTGGCTGTTTTCATTCCCTCTGGTTCTCGCACCTTAACTGGAGAACGGAGCCGGGCTGGGAGGACTGGCCACCCCAAGGGACGAGGGACAGGCTGTGCAATCTTTTACCTTGAGGTCACTGCTTCCACCCCAGACCCAGGCTGGGAGAGACTGAAAGTATTTACCATCTGGTGCCTGTCCAAGTGACTTGCGAGAAAAGAATTCAGGGCTGCCGTCCAGTTTCTGCTGGTCAGGCAACTGTATCAGAAAACCTCGGCTTCATCTGGGACCAGCTGACCCCTCCAAGCCCCCAGCTGCCGCAGCGAGGGAGCGAGCAACAGCCGGGCATTGCCCTCTCCAAAGGAGAAAGGGTCTTCCGCATGGGGAGCGGTGCACGGCGGTGGGGACGCTTGATCCTTCACCGTTTTCCAGACATTTTTAAGTAGGTTTCATTAGAAAGAAGCACTGATAAATGGGACTCAGTGCTGGTTCTGGTCTCAAAGTCTGACATTGCCAAGAGGAAGGAGCTGAGTGATTGCACAGGGAGCAAACAGGACCATCGCAACCAAGAAAGAGCTTGCTTAGCCAAAACTACAGCGCGATCTCTGCTCAGACTGAGGGGCTTCTCATTCGTACAGCCCAGCCTTGTACCGGCCGTTGTGAAAGGACGATGCAGACATTAACAGACATAGCAAAACCTGGGCACTAATTTTGGGCGATTTTTTTTTTCTCTGCTGCAGCCCAGATGAGAGCAATTCATAATTGTCCCCTAAGTTAAACATTCAGATAACCCAAAAAATCAGACTTGTAAAACAAAGCCTGGAAACTTCAGCCAGATGAGTCTTTCCATTAATATTTGGAAAACAGTGTCAGAAATCATCACTTATCAAACATTATGATCCTCTGAGAGTTTATTTTTGGTATCAAACATCATCAGACATAAACTTCTTTTAAAAAATCTCACCAGAAGTTTCGTCTTTCAGACAAGATATAAACCCCAGATCCTGACCTTATGTGGTTACTGACAGGCCCTTGGTATTTTCCATGGAGCTGCATGGCGAACTCATGTTTCCTGATCAAGTTGCTCATTCTTTTTGACTATCTCCATTTTTCTTGTGGTTTCAGGCTAAAATAGACAGCGTTTTTCCTTCAGTTCTTGTCTTGCTTGAGTGTGCTATGAGTTCTCAAGCAGCTGCCGTGTCCCTTGCAGCA